GCACAGCACAGCACAAACTAAAGTAATGGTGGTGGGGAGAGTTATGGAGATAAGCTGACCACGGGGGAAAATTCAGGGAATGTGAAAGAAAAGGAACACAATTTTGGGGGGGAGGAATCTGTCTCTAAGGAAATCTAAGGAAACAAAAGATACAAGTAAAGGTAGCGGCCAAGACGAAAGCTAGAAAGACGGGGAATGCGTGCAAGCGAAAGAGAGGTTGGAGGGCGGGGGGGGGGCGGGGGAGCGGATAATACAGAGAGAGATCGAGGCTAGGTCAGAGGGAGCAAGAGAAGGGGAACAAATCCAGAAGGGCCACCCGCCAGCCCACTGCCAATCGCTTCCTAGCCGAGCCGAGCCAGCGCCACTCACCCGCTGTGCAGAGCCCGAGATTCGCACCCCTTCATCGCCAGCTACCGACACAGCGGCGTGGAGGCCTCCCCTCTCCTCTCCTCTCCTCTCCTCTGCTCTGCTCTCAATGCCTCTCCTCCGCTCCGCCCCTACACGGCTCCTTCCTTCCTTCCGGGCCGTGTTGGCCGACCGGCCGCTCGCTCACGCCTGCAATCCAGCGCAGGCGGCGGCGTTGAGTCCTTCTTTTGCCCCCGTGGGGGATTCCCGGGGGTCAGCCTCCGGGTTTGCTCTTCACGGCTGAAATGGAAAGGGGTGAACGCACAAGTTACTCTCGCAACCCAACCCGCCCGCCGCCTGCACATGTTCCAGAGTTTCAGGAAGGACATCGGGCAATTCAATCTATTTAACATGGGCTCAGTGCTTTAGACCTTCGAGAGCACCAGATAAGTAGATCTTAGGAACGAAATAGATATAGTTCTGCTGGTAACCTAGTAGCAGCGAAGATACTTCCAGAGGACCTGTCTATGAACATCTATCTTGTTATGTCTTTACTCTTTTATAAAAAACAAAAATGAAAAGGGGAAGAGGTATATGACAATTGCTTAATAAATGCTTTATATGGAAGCATCTTAATATCTATGTGGGGAAGAGTAAATCAGTTGCAGCAAAATAGCTACGTATTGTGGCACCTTAAAAGCTTAATTACTAAATTTATATCCCGCCTTTCACTCAGAAGTTCAAGGCGGCATACATTTCACTCCCACCTCCTGTTTTTTCCCATAACAAGCACCCTTTGAAGTAGGTTGGGTTGAGAGAGGATGCCTGGAGCAAAGTTACCCATGACCTTCTGTGGCCAAGGGTGCGTTAGAACCTGGGTCTCCCTGCTCTGAGTTCAACATCTTAACCACTAAACCATGCTGACTCACTAAATGTGTTTTATGTCTCCAGTTTATAGACTTACACAATTACAAGTTTAGAAGGGAAGTCTTCTAAAACAATCCTCTGCCCAGGTCACGAATCCTCAGACCATCCCAGACAAATGGCTGTCTAAGCTTTATTTGAAAACCTGCAGTGATGGAGCCCCCACAACTCGAGGAGGTTGGCTATTCCACTTCTTAATAGCTCTCATAGTCAGGAAATTCTTCCTTATTTTAAGTTTGGATCTCCCTCTGTAAAGCCTCTACCCATTGTTTCTTGCGCTCACAGGAGCATCTTATGCGGAATCTTATGCCACAATTAATTTCATTGCCTGCTGAATAAAAACGTGTCTTGTAGAATTTTCTCTGACTGTAAAACAACTAAGATAGTTGAAGTCAGCTCTATCACCAATACAGATTTGCTTAGCAAGCATGCTGTTCAACCAGTTTGGATGAAATTGAGCTAATACTAGATCTAACAATCCCAAACAGAAGTTTATAAATCTAGAAGGAAGCATTATATTTCAAGTAAATTTGCCAAACGCTTTTAAAAACAATTTTGTTAATTTTAGAAAAGAATTATGGAGCAAGAACAATTTCAACCTGATATTTATACAGGTAGTCCCCGGGTTAAGAACGCCTGGGTTATAGATGACCCATAGTTAAGAATGGAGTCTACTGTAGCAAACTTTGAGTTAAATACACAATTATTCGAGTTAACTACCCAATGGTTCAAGTTAAGCAGACAATACTATGTATGCAGTATTATACAATAATACTTTTATGGCTTACATACAAATTCGACTTAAGGACAGACCTTGGGAATGGAACTTGTTCTTAAACTGGGGACTGTCTGTATCAGCATTTTTACTGTGATGTTAAACATTCCTATAGAAGTTATATAGAGACAAAGTAAAGGACGCTGTGACCAATTTAGAAATGCAAGACTATAGTACATAAAAGCCCAATTTATATAACATTGGAAATCATAAAGTGTAATTTTAAGATATAACTTATTTATGCAGTTCTAAACCTTGTACTCATTTTCTGAGCTTGAAATAACACACATATAAATACAGTCGTATGAAAAAGAAAGTACACCCTCTTTGAGTTCTATGGTTTTA